CCTCTGAGCCTTGGTTTTCTGTTTTGTAAAATGGAAGAAATCATCTTTTTAAGGGGAGTAAGGATGAGGGACAAGCATAGGGCAAAGGCAGACCTCAGTGGCCAACATCTTCTCACTGTCCATTCTGTAGCTATTGGCAAGTGGCAGTAATACGTCCCTTAGGTAGTAAGACTCTGGCCATATTGTGATGCTTACAGTCATTCCAATCAATAAAAACTGATGAATGGGAATACTGTTTGCTGTTTCACGTATTAAATCTAAATCTTTTCATGTTTCTTCTCAGGGATAAAGATTTACCAGGATCTCTTCAATGCCAATCACAACACAGAGAAAAGAAGTTGAGTCATTCACAAATGGAAGGTAATGAAAATCATCCTCAAAATTAAAATGTAAACAACAGCCCTTTAACATAACTGATCCTTCTTCTCTCAGAAGATCTGGGATTTCAAGGGTTGTTTATACTACTCCATCATTTGAGAAAAAAATAGAAAAAAACTTTCTGTGGGTTGGGAGAGGGATCACTTTCAAATGGGCATCTCCCTAGAATTTAGACAGCGGGCATCTCCCTAGAAGTTAGACAGTCCTGGTCAAATTCCTGTATTCAATGAATAACTTGTTGGTTATTCTGTGTGGAAAAGAACAAATGAAAGGTCAAGTATAAACCAAGTAATGTAAGAGTGTAAACACAACTAAAGTCCCAGGATTTCTCACAGAAAAAAAATTATAATGATAAAATGAGCTATACTGGCTACAGTTCATTCATCCAAACAACAAATATTTACTTAAAGCCAAAAATGTACTCGGCACGGGAAACACAACAAGTCAGACTTGGTCACTGCCCTGATAGGAAGTCTAACAGGGAAGACAGACAATTAAACCATAATTGTTGAATGAATCATTTAAATTACAATAGGACATGACAGGAAAAATATAGAGCATAAAGAGACGTCTCCTAACTTGGTCGTGTGAGGGAAGAAGCGTCCCAGAGAAGGCTGAATATGAAGTAGGAGTAAATCAGGCAAAGAGCACAGAGGGGAGTGTTCCAGGCAGAAAAAAAAGGCCCAGAGAAAAGGAAAAGCGTGATGCACTAGAAAAACTACAAGAAGTCAGGCATGGCTGTGTTTGGATTCTGGGAGGCTAATGCTTCACTCCTCTGAATTTAGAATCAATTGAAAAATTGATTCAGGAGACAGAAAGGAAGCCAAGAACCACCTTGATTGCTGGGATAGCTAGTTTGGGAAATACAAAGGATTGTCAAGATCGGATTTGCATTTTTAATTGTAAAACTGAGCTAAATGACTTGATAATAACAGTTTATGTTTTTATAAGACATTAACGTTTCTAAGGAGCTTTAATATACATTGGTGCTCATTTTAAGGGATTTCTTTTAATCAGGTATGGTAAGACATGCAGACACGGAAATGACTGTCATGAATGGTAAGACATGCAGACACGGAAAAGGTATGGTAAGACATGCAGACACGGAAATGACTGTCATGAAGGAAGTTTTTTTAACTCACAGATCCCAGAGGCACATGTCATGCAGGGCTACATGAGGAAGCACCAGGGTCAGTCAGGAGGTGGCAGGGGCAGAATGTGGACAAGAGCCTTTATTGTGGTTTCCAGGACAAGGAACTGGCAAGGCAGAGTAAGCAGGGTTAGGATTAGTGAGTTTGAATAGTTTCAGTGGACTCTGGGGTGTGGGGGCTGTCTCTGGTTGTCTGGTATCTAGGCTTGGGATAATTAAGGAAGGAACATAGCAGCCCTGAATGTAAGAGCAGAGAAAGAAGGTGTTTAGAGGATTGGCTGGCTTGTATATGAAAGGCACACTCACAAGCTAATAGTTTACTATCTACACGAGTTTACTAATCACCCCTGGGTGGGGCAGTCCCTCCAGGGTCAGCAGAGTCCCAAATGTCAAAGCATCAAACACAGAAACTAGAAAATGTTCCTTGCAACTTTCCTATGAGTGGTCAATTTCTTCATTCTACAAATATTTATTGAACACTTCAAATTCCCCAACATCTTCCATTCTCACTCTCAATTGATATACTTGCTTCCTACTTCTCTGAAGAAAACTGAGGCAATAGGAATAGAATTTCCACAGACTCCCAACTCCCTGTCTACCTTCCTACCAGCATCTATACGCATATACTCTGCCTTCCACCATTTTTGAACAGTTTGAGCAACAAAAATAAGTATATATTTGTTTTATAAACCAAAGTAAAAACTAAACATCCAAAAGTCCATATGCTAGAAATAAATGACAGAATTTTTAATATTTTAACAATTTTTAAATAGTAGCTGGAGAAGAAAATGTCACAATATTTTTAAAAATTAAAACATAATTGATTGCACATATTCATAGGGTACAAAGTTGAATATCAATACCTGTGTACAATATGTGGTGATCAAGTCAGAATAGTTAGTACATTCTTCATTACGCAATGTAATCATTCTTTGTGACCCTTTATCAATTTCTCACTAACCCTCCTCCTCCTTTCCCACCACTGGTAACCTCAGTTCTGTCCTCTCCTTTTGAAAGTTCAACATATTATTGTGCTTGTTGTATCTCTCTCTCTTTCTTTTTTTATTTATTTCTTAATATTTTTAGCTCCCACTTATGAGAACATGCAGTATTTCTCTTTTTGTGCCTGGCTTATCTCACTTAACATAATTTTTTCCAGGTTCATCCACATTGCTGCAAGTGGCAGAATTTCATTCTTTTTATGGCTGAGTAGTATTCCATTGTCTATAGATAGCACATTTTCCTTACGCAGTCATCTATCAATAGGCATTTAGGTTGATTACATATCTTGGCTATCGTAAATAGAGCTGTGATGAACATGGGAGTGCAGGTATCCCTTCCACATGATTTCCATTCCTTTGGGTATGTACCCAGCAGTGGGATTACTGGATTGTATGGCAGTTCTATCTGTAGTTGTTTGGGGAACCTCTATACCATTTTCCATAATGGCTGCACCAATTTACAGTCCCACTGACACAGTAAGAAAATTTCCTTTTCTCTGCCTCCTTGCCAGCATTTGTTATTCTCTGTCTTTTTGATAATAGCCAGTCTAACCGAGGTGAGATGATATCTCAGTGTGGTTTTGATTTGCATTTCCCAGACATTTAGGGATGTTAAGCATTTTTTCATGAGTCTCTTGGCCATTTTTATGTCTTTCTTTGAGAAATGCCTATTCAGCTCTTTTGTCCATTTGTTAATCAGGTTGTTTTTTTACTAAAAAGTTGTTTGAGCTCCCTGTATATTCTGGATATTAATCCCTTGCTGAACGCATAGTTTGCACATATTTTCTCCTATCCTGTAGGTTTTTTCACTCTACTGATTGTTCTCTTTGCTGTACAGAAGGTTTGTAGTTTAATATAATCCCATTTTTTTATTTTTTCTTTTGTTGCCTGTGCTTTTGGGCTCTTATTTATAAAGTCTTTGCCCAGTCCTACATCCTGGAGAATCTCCCCTATGTTTTCTTCAAGGAGTTTTAAAGTTTTAGGTCTCATATTTAAGTCTTTAATCCATTTTGAGTTGTTTTTGGTGAACAGCAAGAGGTACAGATCTAGTTTCATTCTTCTATATATGGATATCCAGTTTCCAGAGCCATTTATAAGAGGCTCTCCTTTCCCCATCTTATGTTCTTGGTGCCCTTGTCGAAGATCAGTTGGCTGTAAATATGTGGGTTGATTTCTAGATTCTCTATTCTGTTCCATTGGTCCACATGTCTGCCAGTACCATGCTGTTTTGATTACTGTAGCTTTGTAGTATAACTTGAAATCAGGGCCGAGCCCGTGGCGCACTAGGGAGAGTGAGGTGCTGGGAGCGCAGCAGTGCTCCCGCCACGGGTTCAGATCCTATATAGGGATGACTGGTGCACTCACAGCACTAACTGGCTGAGCGCGGTGTGGCCAGTCTCAAAAAGGACAAAATAATAATAATAATAATAATTTGAAATCAGGAAGTGTAATGCCTCCGGCTATGTTTTTTTTTTTGCTCAGGATTACTTTTGCTATTCAAGGTCTTTTGTTGTTTTATATGAATGTTAGGATTGCTTTTTCTATTTCTGTGAATAATGTCATCAGCATTTTGATGGGGATTGCATTGAATCTGTACATTGTTTTGGGCAGTATGGGCATTTTCACAACGCTGTGAATAATGTCATCAGCATTTTGATGGGGATTGCATTGAATCTGTACATTGTTTTGGGCAGTATGGGCATTTTCACAACGTTAATTCTTCCAATCCATGAGCATGGAATGTCTTTCCATCTTTTGTGTCCTCTTTAATTTCTTTCAGCAGTGATTGTAGTTCCCATTGTAGAGATATTTCACCTCCTTGGTTAAACTTATTCCTAGCTATTTTATTTTTTTGGCGACTATTGTGAGTGGACTTGCTTTTTTGATTTTTCTGCTAGTTCATTGTTGGAGTAGAAAAATTTTACTGATTTTCATGTGTTGATTTTGTATCCTGCAACTTTACTGAAATTATCTGCTCTAAGAGTTTTATGTAGAGTCTTTAGGTTTTTCTATATATAGGATCATGTCATCTGCAAACAGGGTCAGTTTGACTTCATCTTTTTCAATCTGGATGCCATTTATTTCTTTCTCTTGCCTAACTGCTCTGGCTAGTACTGCCAGTACTATGTTAAATAGGAGTGATGAGAGTGGGCATCCTTGTCTGGTTCCTGTTCTTAAGAATTGAGGATGATGTTCATTCAGGATGATGTTGGCAGTGGATTTGCTGTATATGGCTTTCATTGTGCTAGGATATTTCCCTTCTATATCTAATTTGTCAAAAGTCTTTATCATGAAGTGATGTCAAATTTTGTTAAACGCTTTTCTGCATCTATTGAGATAATCATGCAAATTTTGTTAAACGCTTTTCTGCATCTATTGAGATAATCATGTGGGTTTTGTCCTTGATTTTGTTGATGTGGTGTATCACATTTATTCACTTGTATATGTTGAACCATCCTTGCATCCCTGGATGAATCCCACTTGATCATGGTGTATTTTTAAGGGAGAAATAATAGTGAGTTTGTATATATGATATGATAGAGAGTGAAGAAAAATTGGTGTTGGAGACAGAGGGAACACCTTCTTAGGTAATTTCTTTGAATATGAGAGGGAATGGGTTCTGGCCCACAGTGGAGGGATTGGCTCTAGATAAGAGTACAAAGTTAATTTGTGGAACAGGGAGGAAGTCAGAGTATGTGTGTACATACTCTGTAGGGAGGTAGATATGGAGGTGGGAGTCTGCAGAAATTCTACTTGTCTCTTTTTCTTCCTAATTCCCCCCACCTAGCGTTACTTTTTCTTTTTCCCATAGCACATGCCACCATCTATAGTGGCATCTAATTTACCTATTTATTACATTTATATGAGGGCAGAGATATTTGTCTATTTAATGCACTAATGTATCCTGAGCACTTAAAACAGTACCTGGCACATAGAAAGTATGCAATAAATATTTGTTGACTAAGTTACATGCATGAAAGAAAGCCTACTAACATGCTAGAGAAGTGGGGAAAAAATAGAAACAAGTCAGAGATGGTTTAGTCCAAGTTCTAGAGAAGACTACCTTTTATCAAAGGAGAAAGATATTATCTTTTCACATTATTATAAGGCAGGTATCATTATCTCTATAGGATTAATCGTTCATACAGAGATGCTGAGACTTGAATGTGATATGAAAAAAGGTTTATTCTGGTGCCATTTGGCACAACTTTGTTCTAGGTTTATTTCCTTATTCACTAATTTTAGAAAACATGTCTAATTTTGGCTCCTGTTAGTACCTTGACTATTTCTTTAATAAACTTTGGGTCTGTACAAACATACACAAACAAATATATAATTTGGGTCCATATTGGTATATTAGTTTTCTATTGCTGCTGTAACAAATTGCCACAAATTTGGCAGCTTAAAAAAACACAAATTTATTATCTCACAGATCTGTATGTCAGAGGTCCAGGTGGCCTCAGTTGGTTTTTCTTTAATGGGTCTAACAGCACCGAAATTAAAGTATTGGCCAGCCTGGGCTCTTATCTGGGGGCCCTGGAGGAGAATCTGCTTTCAATCTCATTCAGATGTTTGGCAGAATTCAGTTCCTTGTGGTTGCAGGGCTGAGGTCCCAGTTTCCTTGCTGTTTGTCAGACAGGAGCCTCTCTCAGCCACTTAAGGCTGCCTGCATTCCACATCATGTTGCCCCCTCAGTCTTCAAACCAGCAATGGTGGTTCAGGTCCTTCTCAGGCTCTGAATCTCTCTGACTTCTTCTGCCACATCTCTCTTGCTTATAAGCAGATCATGTAATTATATAAGGGATCATGTAATTAGATTGGGCCAAGTATAATCCATCTTAATTAATTCTGCAAAGTCCCTTTTGTCATGTACAGTCACATGTTCACAGGTTTCAGGGATTAGAGTATGAACATCTTTGGAAGGCCATCTCACCTACTACATTTGGTTTTCCATCAATTAGTTTATCCCAGTTCAAATCCCATGGAAGGATTCTATCCTTCATAAGAAATGTCTACTGAGTACTTGTTTTTCTCTCAACACTTTTTCAGAAAATAATCTCCAGTCAACTGCACTGTCTGTCCTAATCCCATTAGCATATGTATTTCTTCTTAAATAACTGTTCTGAACAACATAATTCCATTTTGTCAGCCTTCCAAGATGCCTACAACTTCTTCAACAAGGACAAAACTGGCTGTATTGATTTACATGGAATGATGTGCACTTTAGCTAAGCTGGGAATGAATCTAAGCAAGCATGATGTCGATAATGAATTAAGATGTGCTGATATTGATGGTGAGTACTTTGACTTCTCATTATTTTTCTCATAAAAGATTTTTGTGAATATGTATTTTTCTCAGTGACTGTATAAACATGAGAAATAGACCTCATTTATTTGCCAAAAATATGTGTGTGTGTCTATTTAAAGACATCAGTGAGGACTGTATACAAGTTATGATATCAAATTAATGATACAAATTAACTATTTGAAAAATCCTGTGTGGAAATTAGAGTGACTGTCTCATTTCAATATCAAATTCAGGTTACCAATCATGATGTAAATTTTGGAAAGTGCCTTGACATAACAGATACAAAGACATGAATAATTTCAAAAGTGACATGTTGCCTAGAAAATCCAAGCCCTTTGTTTCTGTTTTAATCATAATACAAATCTTTCTTCTGTCATTCCATCTATATTGAATTTTTATTTTTTATTTTTTTAAAAGAAGACCGGTAAGGGGATCTTAACCCTTGACCTGGTGTTGTCAGCACCCCGCTCACCAGTGAGCTAACTGGCCATCCCTATATGGGATCTGAACCCGTGGCCTTGGTGTTATCAGCACCACACTCTTCCAAGTGAGCCACAGGCCGGCCCTTATATTGAATTTTTAAATATCACAGCATTTTGTTGGAATTTTTAAAGCATACAGATAGTTTTTATTGATTATACTAACTAGGGATTAGTAGCACAAGCTGATATGTTATGTGGAAAATATATTCAGCATATTTTCTCCTCTCGCCTCTCTCCACCCAATTGCCAGTGCCCCATTCAGTCAGCATCAGTTCCATGTGTGATTCAAAATACCAGTCAATAAGGTATCACTTGTTTCCACTAATTCTGTGCAATTTTTCTATATTTCATAGAAACACACATACCCCCTTAGTAGCACTCACTATCCTTTAAATTTAGAGGAAATGCGGTACAACTTGAGGATGTTATAATAGGAATGAATGATAGGGGTGGGTATGGCCTCAGGGGGAAGGAGTGGATTCCTGGCAAATACAGCAAGTCTCTGGGAAGACAGGACTACAATGTCTGGGAACCCCTGGCTTGATGTTTACACCCCACCATCACTTCTGTGGGCTGTGGGTGACTTGTGTAATGGTGCTAAGACCACCTGAAGACCAGTGCATATCTGACCATATCCACAGCTCTTAAATGCTCTAATTTTAAGTATTAAATGGTCCAGGATGTTTTAATTTTTAAATTTAATGTACGAGGGTACTTCAAAAAGTTCATGGAACAATAGAATTAAAAGATAATACAAATCAAATGGGCCGACCCCGTGGCGCACTCGGGAGAATGCAGCGCTGTGAGCGCAGCAGCGCTCCCACCGCGGGTTTGGATCCTATATGGGAATGGCCAGTGCGCTCACTGGCTGAGCGCGGTGCGGATGACACCAAGCCAAGGGTTGTGATCCCCTTACTGGTCACGAAAAAGACAAACAAACAAACAAAAAGATAATACAAATCTTTTCATGAACTTTTTGAAGATCCCTCATATATTCTGATAATTAAAATATATCTTATCCTTGTCCTAAGCCTTAGATTTCTGTTGCAGGAGATGGGAAGGTAAACTTCTCAGACTTTATAAAGGTGCTAACAGATAAGGACCGCTTCCTCAGAGCTGTTGGTGAGTAGAGATGTTACCGAATAGATGGCAGTTGAGTAGCTACAACTCACTACATAGTAAATAAACATTATTGACTTGTACTCAGGAGACAAATCAGGAAGGTGTAGTCTGGAATGCAATTTACTTTTTTACTACTTCTCCAAAACAATATTTGCTAAGCAAATTGATACAGTTTTAGAATTTTAACTTAAATACATCAAGCAGGCACTGGCATTGTCTAAAGGTTTAATGCAGGAGACACTGCCCTGTAGTCTCCAATGAGAGCACTCAGGAAGTGACTAGTGTAGAAAAATTTGGTCTCCTGAATTCTTTACCAAGTATATACACACTTTGGGAGGCATTCCTTTTACAAAAGAAAAAACATTTTTTAGAAGAAAAAAGGTGCTCTCTCTCATGCAAATTTGGGGTATAAATAATTCACTGTTCTTGAAAAAATACCTTCTTCACACTGATAAAACCTCAACCCTCAGTGCACTGTTCATGAGTTCCACAGCTGCCTTGGAAAATATAACCACTATTTATAATATGTTTTCCAGGATAAATACATTCCAAAACCCAAGCATTGTAGACAGTTTTGAAAATTCACCCATTCATAAGCTATGAACTGTCCTTAGGATAAAGTGAAGTTACTGTTTGCAAGTACTACTATAGTAATGGGGGCTTGCCTGCAAACCAGAGATATATTTTCAACAATTTCTTTGCCTAGAAGAACAAAACAATAGTCCTTAATATATAACTCATGTTTATGTTAAAAGTACTACTATATTTACTTGGAAGTTATTGAACTAAAAATATTTTTTATATTCCATAACTAGTCTGTCTGCTCAGTAATCAAAGTGGCCTTTCTACCAGATAGAACAGATTTTTAATGATTTACTGCATCTCTAGTCCCTGACTTGATATTATTATTACAAATACTCAGTAAAAAGACTATCAGTTTATTTATTTATTTATTTTGATAAATGGTTTGTTCAGAAGGCATATTCAAATCTATCTTTTTTTTCTCTCCATAGTTCCAGCAAAGGAGACCTGTTTAGATGTAGCTGGCAATCCAGGGATCCTACTGTTTGAGATCTTATCAAAGCTTGTAGAGACTTCAGCCCTACCCAGAAAGGCTGTAATGGAACTAGTAAGGTAAGTGGGAAGGAAAGGAACAAAAACTGACTTCTCAGAAGCACTTTTGAGGATATTAACACAGCAGTCACCTCTACTAACATCCAACTTGCCGGGATCTGGTCCAAAACAAAGGATTAAGTAACTGAAAAATGGCTCTCCTGCCACAATATGAGATCTTATTCCTCCATCTCCGCAGTCCTGCCCAGCTCTGAAATCATAAGGCTGACCTCAGACCATCTCAGGGCCCCACTGAAGGTCTAAGACAGCCAAGAAGGCTCAGCCTCTCCTAACTATGGCCTGAGAATCCCAGCAGAATAAGACTTTTTCCAGGGATGATTTGGGGTGGGCTTAGAAATCTAGTTTGGAATATAAGACTTTACTGCTCATCCTGGAACTACCAGGGGCTCTCAAGAGGTCCTCTGACTCTGAGATGAGGGTGACAGCAAGTTCAGACCTCCCGCGGTAGTCTTTAGACTAGAGCAGAACCAATTACACTTGAGAATAAAGGATGAAGAAACATTCTCACCCGAGTGTGTTTATTTATTAATAATAAATTTGTTGATTAGCTAAACAGATAGCTATATTTAGCAAATAGTGCTAAAAATAAACTTCCTCAATTAATTTTTTTTGTTTATAGAAATTAAACAAATGTTGCCATTATCAATCTTTTCAACTCATAGGCCTTCTAAGCATTCTGGTATCCCACTTAGAGAAACAAAAATACAGAATTCCACTTACAATATAAAACTAATCTTCTGTCCCTCAGTAGGTAGTCTCTTTATACCATTCTATCTCTCTGTCAGAAGGGGAACAGAAAGTGCACAGAATTCTACTTTTCATTCCAATTTAAAGATATTTATCGAATTCCTGCTTTTGGTATACAAATTTGGCACATTGCTTAGCCTCTCAGCCTCAGTTTCCTCATCTATAAGAAGAAGGTAATGATAATGATAATACCTACCTATAGGGCAATTGTGAGGATGATGTATAATAATGCATGTGAAGTGCTTGGCACATTATAAGAGCACAATAAATGTTAGCTATCATTATTATGTGGAAGTAACTAGATAAGCATAGAATATGCATATTATCTAATGAGTATATACTGTTATTACCCCCATGTTACATATCCAAAACTGAAGCACAGGTCAGTTAAATAACTTGCCCTAGAGGCAGTAGTGCTTAGATTTTAGCACACTCTGATTCGCTTGCTCTTATCCACCCCCCATACTGCCTCTCACACCTGGTAAGCGCATGCTTAGGAAATGTTAGCTGATGTTCGTGTTTTTGTTATTGTGGTTGTGTTTGTTATTTATATAGTCATCTTGTTATTGCCTGGTTCCTAAGGAGATTAAGTGTTTAAGATATAGCATTTGCATTTAAGGAGCTTAAAATATAAATGGAGAGAAAAGCCATAAATATCTGGATAAGTAGCTAAATATACAGAAGTAAAATAATACAAAATATGTTATATAATTAATTGTCAAGTGAACGGCAGAGATAATTCATCTAGTTTCCTGAGAAAGCAGGTCTTGAGCTAGTTAATAGAATTGGATAGGCATTTGTATAGCTGATTACATCATTTATTGAACATTTACTAAGTGCAAAGCTCTGAGCAAGCACTTACATACATTAGTTTTTCCCTGGATAGTAACTGGTCTCCCTGCTTGCACATTTTGACTTCTCCCCTGCCCTGCCTGCCCTACAGTCTGTTCTCAACACGCCCTATGCCTCACTGATGTCTTGACTACTACAACACCAAATGACCCTTTAAAAATGGTCAGATCATGTCACTCCTCTGCTCAAAACCTTCAAAACCTCCCATTTCCCTCAGAGGAAAATCCATAGTCTTTATGATGATTTATTGCCCTCTATGTGATCTGCGCTTCTCTTACACCTCTTTGACTTCATCTCCTGTTACTCTGCTCAGGCCACGCTGGCCTCCTTGCTGTTCCTCAAATACACCAGATGTGTTTCTACCTAAGGCCTTTGCACTTGCTTTTCCCTCTATCTGGAACGCCTTCCTCTGGGTATCCCGTGATACACTCTACTCACTCTCACCACCTTCAGGTCTTTGTTCAAATGTCATCTCGGTAAAGGAAACCAAAGGCCAAGGACTAAGTATATAAAATAGTCAAGTGGCCTGTAGAAAGTATCAGTAGATATTCTATAAATGTCACAAAAATAGGCACTCAATAATATTTATTGAATGAATATGCAAATTAGACTTAAAATAAGTTTAGTCAGCATATATAACTTGCAACTTGACTTTCTTTTTCTTTTTATCCTATGACACTTTTTATCCACTTATGAATTGCTTTTTTTTTTTTTAAGCTATTTCCGAAGAAAATTCCAGGACACCAGTGCAGAAATACCATGGAGTCCCTATGCTATGGGTTATGGAAAAAGGAGACTTAAGCCAGACATATGCATACCTCCAAACTCAAGCATGGCTGCTTTTGCTAATGCTGCCAAGGTTGCAATAACAGAAGAAAAGGATTTATTTAAATTTCTTGAAGAGCTCAAGAGTAAGAGCCGTTTGTTCTCTCCACACTGTTTTGAAGGACTTATTTGTATATGACTGGTCAGAATACTAGAGGCCAAGTGCTGTAAGAGCAGGACCACTGTTCTGAGTAACAGGTCTCTGACACACAGATAACATCTGAAAGCAAATGTACATCTTACCTGAATCCTCAGACACCTGGATGAAGCCTAGAGTATGTAGGTGGGAAGGGGGAGTAGGAGAGTAAAGAAGGGGGGCCGTGGCCACTAAGGAGAAGCATAAATGCAGAGCAAAGTAGGCACCACATGTTTATCTTTTATGTGAATTTCTTCTTACATTGTTTGTGATACTATTTCTATTTTTATCTTTTTAGGATGCAATCCCCCTTCAGACAGTCCATATTCAAAAGTACCCATCTTTCCGTTGTTTCCTAATGTGGATGGGATGGTGATAGGAAAGCCATTCAAAGACATACAGAAATTAGAAATGCTAAGGAGAAAAGAGCCTTTGAGTTTCTTTGAGAACTATTTTTTCCATAAAAAAGACTGGAAAACACAGGTGAGATTTAGATTATGCCTCATTAGTTAATTTAAATACTTAGATTTTTGAGTACTAACTTAACAGAACTAATAGCATGTTTTTTTTTTTACAACAAATATCTTTAGTTGATATATTTCAAACCAGATTCCATAACCATTTTCCCAAATTTAAGCCCAGGTGTAAATATTTAATTTAATTTCAACACATAGTTAAACTTACTGAAAAATACAATCCTTGGTTTGGGATTGGGGATGGGGAACATAATAATAATAACAATAAAAGATCCTCAGGTCCTACCTCCAGTCACCCTCCCATCAACTCAGGGACCAGAAGCTGCATTTTGGACTCCCTCAGGATTATGTTCTAGATTGTGGTTGGGTCAAACACCATGGGATAAGCAGACCAGGCCCACAACCCAATGGAGCAATGCTGTGAAAGAGGGGCCATCCTGCCCTTCACTAGAACCTCATTTATGGTTCCAGCTGCACTTTCTGGCTCACTTCAAGCTCTGTTGCCTCTAATCTACTTTGCCACTCCCAAGATATACTTTATCATCATGAGTTTTAATTTTGCAGGCAAGTATGCCCAAGTTTCTAGATATTCTCTTAGGATGCTCTGGCCTTACCCCAGGTTTGTCACAGGCCTGCCAGCCTGAGAAAAAGGATAGAGATTTGACAGGGGGCCAGTCCACTCTGTGGGGCATCTCTGGGTTGCAAAGATCCATGTGCAGTTCACATTAGTATAAAATCCCTAGAATACCCCTGCAAACATAAGGTTTAAGAGGGGCTATCACTGTCACAAATGACCCCAAGTTCAGACTTCGTCTTTGTCTGTCCAAATGAAGTCATAAGTGCAGGCAAATGTCACGGACAAGATGAAACTAAAAGGACATTTATTCTTCTTTAAATATTTTTTTCTTGCTGGCTGGCCTGTACAGGGATCAAAACCCTTGACCTTAGTGTTACAACACCATGCTCTAAGCAACTGAGCTGACCAGCCAGCCT